GCAAACTGAAACATTGGATTGTTTTTAAAATGAAACTCTGGAGGATCCAACAAGGTTCCCTGAGGAACTTCTTCATTAAAATGAATGAACTCTGACCTGTTTCCTGTTCAGAGCTGGAGGTCAGACTGAGAGTTGCTGAGAAACAGCTGGAACACCTGGAGACAGAGAACACAGGTAACACTCTGAAGATTTAGCACTGACTTCACATGTATATTAATGTGTGTGTGAAAAACACAAAAACTGCAAACTGAAACATTGGATTGTTTTTGAAATGAAACTCTGGAGGATCCAACAAGGTTCCCTGAGGAACCCCTTCATGAACATGAATGTACTCTGACCTGTTTCCTGTTCAGAGCTGGAGGTCAGACTGAGAGTCGCAGAGAAACAGCTGGAACACATGGAGACAGAGAACACAGGTAACACTGAAGGTTTTAAATCTGTGATTTTATGTTTTAAAGTTACATTTTTATCCTCTGAACTAATTTGACATCTATTTACCACAATATCAAATTAAATAATTATGTAAAAAAAAATAAAAATAAAAAATGTCCAGTTTCAATTAATTGTAACTACTGTCTGGTAGGTTTGATTAAACTATTCTGTGATGATCATAATTTAAAGTTTGTTTGTAAATGATTTTGTTGTTTCAGTTCAGTCTGCTCAGTTTTCCCTGATGGAATCCAGACTGTCAGAAAGCAACAACAACACCACAGGTAGAGTCATATTTACTTCATATTATTATTATTAGTATTATTATTATTATTATTATCATTATTATTTAAATGTAAAAACTAAATGAATCAGATTTCTTCAGCAGCTCTGGACGTCAGACTGAGATCCACTGAGACACATTTGGAACAGCTGGAGACTCACACTGCAGGTGACATCACTCTCATTAACTTTTTTTAATATTAATTACATTCCAATTGTAATGCATATTATTACTGTGATATATTTTTATATTTGTCTACAATTGTGCTTTCAGTTCAGTCTGTTCAGTTTTCCCTGATGGAGTCCAGACTGTCGGAAAGCAACAACAACACCACAGGTAGAGTCATATTTACTTAACAATAATAATAATAATAATAATAATAATAATAATAATAATAATGATAATAATAATATTTGTTATTATTATTATTTGTTTCCTCTTCAGAGCTGGAGGTCAGACTGAGAGTTACTGAGAAACAGCTGGAACACCTGGAGACAGAGAACACAGGTAACACTTAAGGTTTTAAATCTGTTAACAAACAAAAGTTAAGTTCAGTGACAGAAAGTCTCTGCTGAGAGTCGAGCTCAGCAGCTACTCACTGAGCAGACAGGTAAGTGACTGTGTGATGAGGCAGAGTAAAGTACACTAAGGTACACAAAGGTAGACACACAAGGTTGAACCTGTTTTCTTCTCAGATCAAACCTCCAGACTGACCAACCTGCAGAGAAAACTCAATTCAACAGAGAGTCTGCTGGACCAACTGAA